CAAATTGGGCTCTGTCAGTTGGGTATCTCATTTCAAAATAGCTTATTTCGAAATAGGGAACGTCTACACAGCACTTATTTTGAAATAGAGCACTCTTCCTCCGACTTACCCTACTCCTCGTACAATGAGGCTACGTCTAGACTGGCATGATTTTCCAGAAATGCTTTTAACTGAAAAGTTTTCTGTTAAAAGCATTTTCGGAAAAGCGCGTCTAGATTGGCAGGACGCTTTTCCGCAAAAGCACTTTTTGCGGAAAAGCGTCCATGGCCAATCTAGACATGCTTTTCCGCAAAAAAGCCCCGATCGCCATTTTTGCGATCCGGGCTTTTTTGCGGAAAACAAATCTCTGCTGTCTACACTGGCCCTTTTGCGCAAAAGTTTTTCGGAAAAAGACTTTTGCCCGAACGGGAGCAGCATAGTATTTCCGCAAAAGCACTGACAATCTTACATGAGATCGTCAGTGCTTTTGCGGAAATTCAAGCGGCCAGTGTAGACAGCTGGCAAGTTTTTCCATAAAAGCAGATGATTTTGCGGAAAAACTTGCCAGTCTAGACACAGCCCTATAGTAATAGAATTAGTCATAAAATGGTATCATGAGCAGCAGTCAAGACGCAAACTAAGTTATTTCAAAATAGTGTTGCAGTGTAGATGTATCCTAAGGGAGCTCAACTCAGCAGTAAGGGAGACAGGCTGACCCTGCCAGGTAGCCCATTAATATACCAAAGTATGGCCCAGGCAGCCCTGAAGGGGGATATTCATTTGGAAAGACAATATAAAAAGGAGACAAGTCCAGGAGGGAAAACATTCCCCTCCCCAACAGGAGAGATTACAACCAGGAATGGCTTGAGAAGTCACAGGCTGAAACGGGCCGTATTACCCCACTCTGCAAAGCCAACCTGTAGGGTTGCCCGCTGTCCGATTTTGAACCGGACAGTCCAGTATTTGAGCTTTCGGTTCGAGAAACAAATTGAGAAAATAGAAAAGAGAAAATAAGATGTAATGTCGATTGTGATGTCATGTCAAGTGTGTTCGGTATTTTTGTTGAAACCATCTGGCAACCCTACCAACCTGGGATGGGAATACACTGGGAGGCGGCTGTGCAGGGAATTTGGGGGAGCCAGGCTGTGGCTCCCTGGGCTCCCCACAAACCCCCCACTTCCCCACGCCTGTGTTGACGCTCAGGCTCCTAAGTGCTGTTGCCAGGGCTCTTGCTAGGGTGATCATATTTCCCTGTCCTCCTCCGCTACCGCTACCCCAGAGTTTAGCTGAGGGGCGGAAAGGCTTCCTTCTGCTGGCAAAGATCTGGGGCTCTTTCTGGCCAGCAGATCTTGGACTCGCCGGGCGCTGGTCCAGCCAGAGGCAGAAGCGGAAGGAAGGCGCCTGCCGGCCGGGTTGCCCCTGACCTCAATGCTCCGAGCAGGGACTGGCTGTCCATGGGGAACTGGGAGCGGGACGGGCCCCGCCAGGGGTACTGCCGGCCGGGTTGCCCCTGACCTCAATGCTCCGAGCAGGGACTGGCTGTCCATGGGGAACTGGGAGCGGGACGGGCCCCGCCAGGGGGACATAAAGGAGCAGCCGGGCTGGGGGAGGCTGAAGGGGCACAGCAGGGAGGGGGC